TCTTCTAAAAGTGGCCTGCCAAATAAAAGTTACCAGGTTTTGTGGTGCTCACATCCCCTGGAGTTGTTTTCCAGGTTCTTCTCACTTTGAACAAAGAATTGAATGAAATGAGAAAAAATAAAATAAAACAGTGACAAAGTTTATTTGAAAAAGTAAAATTGAAGAGTGAGGGAGAAACTGGCTCTGCAGAGTGAGCTTGGGCCGAGTGACAGGGCAAGATAAAAGTACACCCTAGAGGACACAGGGCGGGCTATTTTGAGGAAAGCCACGGTAGTGGGCTCTTTGTGGCATCTGTGTACTTTTATGCCATCCAAATCTCAAGGAAACGCGTGAGAACTTCTACATAAAGGTCCTGAGTGGTGGTGTTGGGATCCCATGCCTCAGGCTGAGGTCAGGTCCAGGCCATCCCCTTGAAGACCTGCTGGAGTTCTCATGAGAAGTTCACGCGCAGGGCTTTGGGAACTACTCTGCCCATGTGTCTGGGATCTTACTGTAATTAACAGGTCATGCCTACTTCCCCAGCCAGTTTTGCCACACCCTAATCTCCCATGTCACTCCCACCTGAGAATGCACGGACACGGAATAATAATAGGAACTGGGATAGTTCTCTGGGTGGGACAGTCCTGTGTACCTGTGGCTCCTAAATGGCATGAGCCATCACATGACAGCAAAATGCCACCTCATTTTCCCTAATGGTGGCTGGGGTGCTTTGTGTTCCCTCTCCAGGGAGCCATTACTCTGTAATCATTGTATTCTCCGTGGTAATGAGGTAAGATAGAAGAAATAAAGCTAAGTAAAAAGGAGTCATGGAAAGTCATAACTTTAAAATTGCACTTTTAAGAAAAAAATTGCAGCTGCTGGACACGAAATATATTCAAACCTTTTTTTCCTTCCAGAAAACTCACTCAAAATTTTTTTCTAAGAATGTTAAAGACAACAATAAGCTAGGCCAGTGCTTTTTACCTGTAGACTCAGCCATTACCTTTCCACCTGTGATGGCCCAGCCCCTCGTCCTGTCAGTGGGCCTGGGCCTATGAATGGCCAGCACCCTTCACCTGCAGGAAGGGCCATGCCTGGCACCTGTAAATTGAACCCCCTTTCCATAGATTTGCACCCCCAAAACCACATAAATATACCCACTCCAGGCTCAATGTGTTTCTCTCTATATACTGAGGGCCTACATTCTATTCTCAGAGTGTATTTTTTAAATTTTGTTCAACAAACTTTTTTACATCCCCCAGTGATGCATCTTGAAAATTCTTTTTCTGTAATAGATGTCAGTGAGCGGGCAACCTGTCCCATGGGTGGGGTGAGTCAGCCTCCCCATCTCTGCAGTGGGGAACTTCCTCAGACCTAGTCCAGTGACAGTAGGTCCTGATTCATGTGTTTTTCTTTTTAGAATACAGCACGGAGTATAATTCCAGGAATTAACAAGGATTGCCTCTGGCGACCAGAGTTGGGGAATCGGAAAGGAGACTACATTTTCAGTGCCTGCCCTTTTGTCCTACTTGAATTTCTAAACCTTTTTTAAAAACTATTTTTGGTTTTGTTTTTGTTTTTGTTTTTGTTTTTGGTACTGGGGATCAAACTCAGGTCCTTGCGCTTGTGAAGCAGGCGGCAGAAACACTGAGCTAAATCCCCGGCCCTGTTTTTGTTTTTTTAAGACAAGTTCTTGCTATGTAGTTCAGGCTGGCCTTGGACTCACTATGTAGCCAAGGTTAGCCTGGAACTCAAGGCAATCCTCCTACCTCAGCCTTCTGAGTGCTGGGATTACAGGTATGAGCCACCATGCCATTTTAAACCATTTTTTAAAATCATATTTTTAGGCTGGCAATTTATTTATTTTTTCTTTTAAAGCATCTTTTTTTTTTTTGGTACCGGGGATCAAATGCGGGAACTTGCGCTTGCAAGGCAGGCACCAGATTCCACCACCTGCCCTGCAAACGCAAGGATCTGAGTTTGATCCCCAGTACCCCCTCCCCCCCAATCATATTTTTAAGCTGGGTTTATGCCTATAATTCCAGCACTTGGGATTCTGAAGCAGGAGAATTGCCTCATGTTTGAGGCCAGCCTGGCTTACACAGTGAGTTCAAGGCCAGTCTGAACCACATAGCAGGACCTTGTCTCAAAAAACAAAACAACAACAATAAAATATATATATTTGGGTCATGATACTATGAAGGCATCCTGCCGATTCTCCCCAGGAGACACCTGGAGGGGAGTCCATTTAGTCCATATAGTCCTTCGTGAGTGAGTTAATTTGTTCCCCAATAAGAACAACACAGAGACGAGCCATTTATCAGCATCAGGGCAGCATCAGAGCATGAGAGTTGGAGCTGCAGCTCCAGAGCTCAAGAGAATCACAAGTTTGAGAACAGACTAGCTTATTTAGCCAAAGCCTATCTCAAAATAAAAATTTAAAAAGGACTGGGGATGTTAGCTCAGTGGTAGAGCTCTCCTGGGTTCAATCCCTGGTATTAAAAAATATTACTATATTATTATGGACAGAAAAGTGCGGTGTCTGAGCTGTGCTTCCAAATAATCCAGTGGGAGCTAGTAGATGAAAGCAGAGAGGAAACCAGATTGGCCAAGAGGTAACTGTTAGAGCCGAGTGGTTGATCCTCTGATCTATTCTTAGATATATCAGAAAATCTCAGTAGTAAAGTTTATTGAGAATGTATTCAGGGCTGGGGATTTAGCTCAGTGGTTTTGCTGCCTGCTGCGAAAGAGCAAGGACCTGAGTTCGATCCTCGGTACCAAAAATAAAAAAGAGAATGTATTCAGGAGGAGGCCAGCGCCTTAGTCCATCTGCCAGAATTCAGAGCCTCCCTCTCCTCTCCACCCACCCCAGCCTCTCGAGTCTTGTCACGGAGAAGTGACTCCGACCTGTGAGATAACAGCTGTGCAGTGTTCATGCCTCCGGATACCAAAGCGCGGCCTCGAGGACAAAGGAAGTGAAGAGTAGGACAGGTTTACTGAGAGAAAGCTCCTGAGAGACAGGAGGGGTACAGAAAGGGAGCCGCTGTGTGGTTCCTTGTCAAGAGTGTTTTATTCAGCAAAGTCACAAGCTGGGTAGGTGTGGATCAATTTACAATCAACCTGTAGGATTGCAAGTATAGCCGCTTAGCTAATGTTGACCCAATAGGGAATCGAGGCACATAGCAACGGTGTATCAGTGAACATCATTAACCTCAGCCTATCTATAACTTCTAACTAGAAAGAACAAAAGCATTCCTAGAAAGGGAGGGGAGTACGAGGAAGATGCACTAGTCACCCACCTTTGTGTCTGATGCCTCTCTGGGCCCATTGGACTGGGTGGTGCTAATCACAGTACAGTCTCAGCTGCTGTTTGTCTCCAGGGAGGTTTGCAGGCCTGGCCATCTGGTCTCCATCTTTTTATTTGTTTGAGACGGTCTTGCTATGTAGTTCAGGCTGGCCGCAAACTCTTGGCAATCCTCCTGCCTCAGCCTCCCAAGTTCTGGAATTACAGGGGTACGCTACCACACCCAGAGGGGTCTCCATCTTGAGGCCTGACTCTCTTCAGATTCACCTCCAGCTACAACATTTGTGTATCTTATGTTCTGCACTGACTCCCTCAAGGGCCTAATTCCTCTCTGACTGCCGATTAATTTCTACTTAATTTAGCTGTCTATAATAGTCCCACTCCCCTCCTTGCTGTGTTTCCATAACTTTAATAGCTTTCTAACATACTATATAACTCACTCTTAAGCCCTGTTCATCATGGCTGATATACCTTACACTGTGTCCTAATGCTTATTCTCTAATAAAACTGTTTCATTCTTTTCCACATTTGTGGAGACGAATGGGGGTAGCAAGAGGACTTATTTATTTTTATTTATTTTTGCAGTACTGAGGATTGAACACAGAGCCTTCACTGATTTACACACACACACACACACACACACACACACACCCCGCCGCCTTTCTTTCCACAAGGTATCTAAATTGCTAGGTTGCCCAGGCTGGGCTTAAATTTGCCATCCTCCTGCCTCAGCCTCCCAGAGTATGGGATTACCATCATGTGCCACTGAACTCAGCAAGAAGTTTTCTTTTAAATTGTTTTTGTGACATTATGTAATTTGCTTATTATGCCTACTGTTTATCACATCTCTCCCCACAGAAGTCAAGTTCCATGTGGTCAAGAATCTTTGCCAGGGTCTGTTGGTGGATATTTTAAATGACACATATGGCTCACATTATATATTCTTATCAAACAGAGGTGATACAAGGTTAAAATCGAGGATTCTGGAGTTAGAACGGCTGGTTCAAATCCCAGTTCTGCCCTCTATTAGCTGTGTGACCAAGGGCAAGCCTGGCCTCTCCTACCTGGGTTTTCCGGTAGGCAAAGTTGGGATGGGGCAGGGCCTGCTTCACCCTCTGGCTTTATTGGCTGGATACACATACAGACACACAAACACAGACACATACACACACACACGCACACACGTGTGCGCACACACACACGCGCGTGCGAGTGCCTTTCGCTGCTGGGTTTTTTTCCTGCGAAATGAGGATAACCTTGCTGCCCGGCCTCAATCGGTGATAGAAATATTCCTAAGAGGTGATAGGAATATTTCTAGTTCCCAGATGAGGCCTCCTGCCGGATGCCTGACCAAAATAACACTGGTTGCTGGGCGCCGGGCGTCTCACTGCCGGATCAGGGACCCTCCAAAGTGTCCTAGGCCGGTGGGGCCCCGAGGCGCCAGGGCTGGATCCCCTCGGGCGGCGGGAAGGAGGTGGGGGTCAGGATAGGTGGAAGGGACCAGAAGGCGCTGGGTTGGAGGCGGCGATGTGGGGCCGGCGGGTGAAGAGGTCGAAGCGGGATGAGCGGGGAGGCCGCAAGTGCCCGGGGTCGGGGGGTTGGGGGGCAGTGCCCGCCGTGGTCGCGGTGGGCAGTGGAGCCTGACAGCGGGCTGGGGTGCGGAAGGGAGGGAGGAGGCGGCAGGCGGCGCGCGGAGGCTGCTGGGCCCTGACGCCTGCCCCCTGCCTCGCCCGCAGCCGCAACCGCGCCGAAGCTGGGCCTGGCTGGGGGACCATGGGCGCCTCGGCCTCCAAGGCCCGGGCCTCCCGGGTCCCCGCGCCGCAGCCGCAGCCCCAGGAGGGGCTGGACCTGAGCCGGCTGCCGCCTGAGCTGCTCCTGGCCGTGCTGAGCCACGTGCCCCCGCGCGAGCTGCTCAGGCGCTGTCGCTTCGTGTGCCGCGGCTGGAGGACCCTGGTGGACGGCCAGGCCCTGTGGCTGTTGATCCTGGCCAGGGACCACAGCGCCGCCGGCCGCGCCCTGCTGTCACTAGTCCGCAGCTGCCTACCACCTGCCGGCGACGCCAGGCCCTGCCTTCTCGGCCGCTTCTGCGAGCGCAGACCCATTGGACGAAACCTCATCTGCAACCCCTGCGGACAGGGTGCGGGGGCGGGGCGAAGGCAGAGGGGGCGGGATCGCGCCCGGAGCGTATCCGCACTGGGGACCCGCAGGGTCTGTGAAGGGCGGGACTGCAAGGAGAGCTGCCAGGAGGCGGGGGCGAACCGAGGTTGGTAGGAGGAGAGAGGGGCGGAACCAAAGGGGTTATGGACCAATCGGGGAGCCGGTGGGCGGAACGGGTGAGCGGCACCGCCTGGGAGGGGTGGAGCCAGCACACCGAGGCGTGGCTAGAGGGGCGGAGTCAAAAATACCCGGGAGTGGAGCCAAACAAGGAGTGGAGGGGTGGGGCCCCGTTTGAGCCAGTAGGAGGAGCCGAGATGCACAGGGATCCCTAGGGTGGGCTGCTGGATATTGACCACAAGTCTCTTTTATTCGACAGAAGGCCTCCGGAAGTGGATGGTGCAGCATGGTGGGGATGGCTGGGTGGTGGAGGAAAACAGGACAACCGTGCCTGGGGCCCCTTCGCAGACCTGCTTTGTGACCTCCTTCAGGTGAAAGCCTCTGTTCTTCAAGGGGCAGGTCTGTTGTTGAGAAAGACCTGCTTGTTCTCATTACCCTTCTCCCACCTTCCTAGGTGGTGTCGCAAGAAGCAGGTCTTGGACCTGGAGAAGGAGGGTCTGTGGCCAGAACTGCTGGACAGTGGCAAGATTGAGATCTGTGTCTCAGACTGGTGAGCATGATGGCTGCATGTACCACGAACTCTGCAAAGGTGACCTAACTTAGGCCTCCTAACAACCCCTTACATAAAGTCAGGGAGGTGAAGAGACTTGGACGTGATCACAACTCTGGTACTTAGCAGAGATGTACCTTGAACCCCTTTCCTCATTCCCAAAGGATCTGCATGGGCAGACAGCAGATTGGATCCAGTACAGAGGTCTCGAACATGGCTCATTCTGTCTGAATGAGATCCCCCCTGCCTAGCAGGAGATGATATGCATAACAGGCACAGGGGTTGGATTCTGGAGCCAGACCCTCCAGGTTCGACCTTTAGACCTTCAGTTTTAGGGCCTTAAGCAAAGCAAGCGCTTGATAAGTGAAATCATCTTTTTTGAACCTTGATCATATGGAAGGATAGAGTGCACGCCCTCAAATTATTCAGAGGAAACAGGTCCAAAAGGAGGAGGTGACTTGTCCTGATCACATAGCCAGGGCAGGACCTTGGCAGGACCTAGCCAGGCTTCCCTGACTGCAGAGCACATCTCAAACAGGTACATGAGGGCTCTCCAGGGAGGATGGAACCTAGATAATTTTAAGGGAGCCAAACCCAAGATGTTCTACAACTATATGTTCCTTGTTCTGAAATTAATCTGCTGCAGATTTCATCTGTGATGGAGTACCATGATTCTCCTTTGCTCTCTTTTTCTCAGGTCCTCCTTTTTCAGCTTTATGGGGAAAAAAGGCCCCCATTGTGGTGTGTGACCCCCCAGATGTAAAAACTAAGCAGAATCCAAGCCAAATGACCATTTGAATTTTTAGCCTCAATAAATTCACTCAACGTATCATAAGCCTTCCCCTATCTAAGAGATCATCCTATCTAAGAGATGCATTACCAGTAAAACTCAGTTGAGTTTAATTGGTGTCATCTTTGGAGCATAGATGTGCTCTTCTGGTCAGTGGTGGACCACTTGGTTGTAAGAATACCAGGGTCCTAAATTTCTTTTTTTCTTTTTTTTTTTGGTACCGAGGGTCGAACTCAGGACCTTGTGCTTGAGAGGCAGCAGAACCACTGAGCTAAATCCCCGGCTAAGCATCCTAAATTTCTCTGCACATGCCCCACGGAGTTTTCCAACTCCTGATGCCCAGGGCACACTGCATCCTCATGATGTCTGAGTATCTGAAGATGAAAGCCAGGTGTCAATGTCTGTGAGAAATTGAGAGCCATTCATAGAGTTAGAAGGCACAGTCCCCAAGACCATCCTCACTTCTAGCACTGATGGCAAATTTGAGGAACTCCCAAAGCCACCCTCACCTCAGCTGTTCACTAGAAGGGCTCACAGAAAGCTATTACACACTTAGTGTTTATTGCAAGGAAAAGTGAAAATTAGAATCAGCTCAGGAGGGTGAGGCAGGAGGATCACTGCAAGTTTGAAGCCAGTCTGGGGTACATAGCGGAACCTTGACTCAAAACCAAAAATCAGCTAAGAAAAGAAGCATCCAGGGCAGTCAGTGTCCAGGAAAGGTACCAGATGCAGAGCCTCCGTGGTCCCCCCTACCTTCCCGAGAGAGGATGAGTTTTCGTCCTGGCATGGATGTGACAAGATGCATGAAATATTACCAACCAGGGACACTCACCTGAGCCTTGCTGTACAAGTTTTTTTGCTTTTGCCCTTTCTTTTTTTTGTTTTTGGTACCGGGGATCGAACTCGGGACCTTGCACTTGCAAGGCCAGTGGCAGAACCACTGAGCTAAATCCCCAGCCCTTTGCAAGTTTTTTTATTGGGACTGCATCACATAGTCTTGATCGGTCACTTGCCCATGTGGTTAGTGTCAGCCACCAGGTCAGCTGACATTGAGTCAAACCCCCACCCAAGTTCCCATGGTTATTTTTTTGGCGTAGCCCACTGTCCTTCCTCCCAGGCTATCTATATGGGTGTGCCTACCCCCTCCACTTGCCCTGGTAGACTACCCAGTCACCCACGTCCCTATCGAACAAAGATGCTCCTGTCAGACCTGGCATGCTGAGGGTCTGGATTTGCATGGATGGAGAGGGCCTTATCTCTTATGAAAGGTGGACAGGACAGGCAGACACCCAAAGAGATGGGGTGGCAAGTCCAGTCTACAAGGCCTCACTCCTCCCACAGGTGGGGAGCCCGACACGACAGTGGCTGTAAGTATCGACTCTTTGTCAAACTTCTAGATGCCAACCAGACTGTCCTAGATAAATTCTCTGCCAGGCCTGACCCCATTGAGCAGTGGAACAACAATATCTGCCTTCAGGTGAGTCTGAGGAGAGAGAGAATGATGGTAAGGGCTTGGAAGATTAGCTTTTGCTGTATAACAAGTCATCCCGAAACTTGGTTTAAAGTCAGTAGCCCTTCGCCAGGTGTGGTGGTGCATGTCTGTGATCCTGGCTACTCAGGAGGCTGAGGCAGGAGGATTGCAAGTCTGAGGCCACTTTGTGAAACCTTGTCTCAAAATGAAAAATAAATAAGATGGCAGGTAGAGCATCTCTGGGTTGAATCCTCAGTACTAAAAAAAAAAATTTAAAAAGAATCAACTGCAATTATTTAACTACCTCTCATGTCTTCTGACCTGGTAGATAAAGAAGAGCCCAGCTGGGCAATGTGGCCTCAGTCTCTTGTGTTCAGAGTGGCATTCAGATGATGGCTGAAGGGAAGTGTAGGGTATTGCGTGGTGTCTGGTGTCTCTGGTGTCTGGTCAAATTCTTCTGTCTCTGTTTAGTCCCAAAGCTCTTCCGTGGGACCCCTGAGTTTGGGCCAATTGGTTTTCTCACAGCATGGTGTCCTCAGGACAGTCGGTCTGCTTGTATGGTGGCTAAAAACTTCATTGCCTTTTCTGACCTCATCTACCGAAGTCACTTGGCAAAAGCTATTCACTTCCACCACATTCTTGGTGATAAGCACACCCACCCACATTCAAGGGGAAGGGAATTAGAGCCACCTCTTAATGAGGGAGCGGGTAGATTCTAGAACGTGTGCAATGGAGATGACTTGGCTGCCCTCTTTGGAAAATGCTATCTGCCCCAAGGCCCCCTTCTCAGCTTTGGACTGGAGGACTGTGGCACAACAGAGCTGACCTCTTTCTCTACCTACAGGTCACCCACGTCTTCTCCAACATCAAGACGGGCATCCGTTTTGTGTCTTTTGAACACTTGGGGCAGGACACGCAGATCTGGGCTGGCCACTATGGAGCCCGTGTGACCAACTCCAGCGTGATCGTGCGAGTCAGTGAGCCCTAGTCAAGGCGCTTTTCTTGCAAGCCAGCCTGGCTGTGCCTTCCAGGAGCTGGAACCATTGGCTGGGACCCCTCACTAACCAAGTGCTTATGCCTCACTGGCATGCTGGCAACTCCAGTCTTCGAGTTCTGGAAACTATTGAAAGAAGGGGCTTCCATTGGAGCCACTGCTGCTGCTGCTTTTTTTTTTTTTTTTTGATGGGGCAGAGGGGTGCTCCACTTAGCGGAGACCCCCATTGTGGATGGGGCATGCTGGTCCTGGAGAGGGCACCCCGTCACACACACCAGCAGCCCTCGGGCTCAGCCTAACCCGCTCTGCCCTGGCCCCTCAATTGGCCTCTTGTCTTCTCCTGTTTCTGCGTCAGGGACTTTCCTGGTCCCTTCAGGGAAGCTTCTATTCACCTTTAAACTTAGATCTCACCCTATAGCTACCAAATTCTAGCCACCCTGCATAATGAACTTCACCTCCTGGTCTTAGCTACAGGGCTAGGACCTTGTCTTGAAGCTGAAGATAACTAGGTCAAAAAAGAAAAAAGATGTGGAGTTGAATCTGCCCACAAAGACTGCTCTGAAAAATGATGAGATATCTCAGGCCCAGCCCTGATCCTCAAGAACCTCTCTAATTGCACGATATTTAAACAATATTTAAATCATATTTTAAAATATTTTATTTTCCTTTTGACATTTTTTGACAGAATAATCTATCAATATCATGTATCTACTGATCATATGTAATACATTTCTTATTTTGTCAAAACTGCTTCAGATCTTTTTAATAGAAATTCAGTGCTACTTCCTTGGTTACTACTTGGTTTAGAGGAACAAGATGAGAAGAGAAAAGTGCAGAAGAAAATAACTGCTAAGGGCCAGGGATTTAGCTCAGTGGTGCCGTTGCCTGCCTCACAAGCGCAAGGACCTGAGTTTGATCCCCAGTACCAAAAAAAAGAAAGAAAACAACTGCTAAGATTGACAGAAGAGGAGATGGAAGAGTTGGAATAATATTGCCCAAGGCCTGAGGAAATTATTGATGCAGATAAGATTGCCAATCAGTGTCACGTGCGTTAGGTGGATATAGATGGAGAAAAGGAGGGAGATGGTGTCAAAGTGACACTGTACTTATGACTTCATAGTTGTGGGGGTGACATGGAGCCCTGCAGTGGCGGCATCCATCTATCCAAAGATCACTGATAGCCTCTGTGCTGGGGGAGGAAGGAGATGTTCAGGTCTCAGCCGAGCAGAGTGAGCTGTGCTGGATGTGTTCTCCCTGTCTACCTAATCTCAAGTGGATCGGGCCTCCAGCCACAGCTTCCAGTGCAGATGCTCCTCAGAACTGATGGTGAGGGGGCCACGTCCTAATAAACCCATCACACACGGAAAATATCCTAAATCAAAACTGCATTGAGCAGGGTATGATGGCTCACTCCTGTGTTCAAGGCCAGCCTGAGCTACCCAGCGAGACCCTGTCTCAACAAAACAAAACAAAAAACCCCAGAAGCATTGAAAACTAGGTGTGGAAAAAAAAGAAAAGCCAGGTGTGGTATTGCACACCTGTAACCCCCGCACTCTGGGAGGCTGAGACAAGAGGATCAAGAGTTAAAGGCCAGCCTGGGCAACTTTGTGACTTAGTGAGACCCTGTCTTAAAATTTAAAAAGACAGGGTAGGAGGCAGGAGCTGGGAGTATAGCTCAGTACAAAGGCCAGGATTCAATTCCTAGTAATACAAAAAAAGGGAAAAAAAGATTGTGACAGTGTAAAGCATAACTGAAGTCCCTGACCAGATGTAGTGTGGGCAAACAGTTGTGCCAATTGTGTGACATTCTGGGGCCAACTAGGGGAATTTGATTTGGTTTGGTTTGGTTTTTGTAGGTCTTTTGTTTTTGTTTTTTCTCAGGGGTAGGGGTTTGAGACAGAGTCTCAAGATTGGCCTTGCATTCACTGTGTAGCCCAAGCTGTCCTCAAACTTGCAGCGATCCTCCTGTCTCAGCCTCCCAAGTGCTGGGATTACAGCCATGCACCCCCATGCCGGGACCTGGGGTAATTCAAATGTCAGGAATGTGAGATGAACATTTACAGGAGTGGGGAGATGGAAATCATTTGCCTGAACATTATCAGTGGTAGCATTTCATTTTGGCATTGCCTTTGTCCCTTTGGGCTGCTATAACAAATACATTAAGCTTGGTAATTTATAAACAACAGACATTTGCTCATAGTTGTGGAGACTGAAAAGTACTAGTGTCTAGATCCAGTGTCTGGGGAGGGCACACTTTCTGCTTCCAAGATATCCCCAGGTTTCTTCATCCTCACTTGGAGGAAGAGGTGGGGAGCTCGTTCAGCCCTCTCCTAAAGGCATGTGTCAGTTGCTCTTTACTAGAGAAACAGATAACACGAGATATACAAGTACATAAGAATTCACAGGATTGGCTTACAATGGCTTCCCACAGAGTGGGATGAGGCAGAGTGCAGGGGGTCTGCACACTGGAGGCAGAAACATCCAGTTGAAGGTCTGGAGCTCACTGCAGTGTCCTGTGCGAGTCCATATCAGGAGGCTGACAGGTCTGTGGTGTAAGACTGAAGAGTCTGCAGTGGAAAGCTAAAAGATCTGCACTGGAATGCTGGAGGATTCACGCCGGAAGCTGAGGAATGCAAGGGGCCAGGAGATGATGTCCAAGGTGAAGGCAAAGACTGGAGCTCCTCCAAAGAAACAGAAGCAGATCTGTCCTTCATTCCCCCTTTATACCATCCAGGCGAGGAGCAGCCCTAGAGTAGGTCTTCCACACCCTACAGTGTGGAATTGCTGAGCCAATTTGGTTGAGCTTCTCTTACTCAAATTGACACAATTAATCATCACAATGCACTAATGTCATTTTATGAGGGTGGAACTGTCATGGCTTGGTCACGTCCCAAAGCCTCCAACCCCCCCTACACACCCTATACCTATGATTAAACCCAGGGCCTTTGCTCTGAGTGACATCTCAGCCCTTTTTTTATTATATTTTATTTTGAGACAGGATCTCACTAAGTCACTACATTGCCCAGACTGGGGTCAAATTTGTAATCCTCCTGGCTCAGCCACCTAGAATGCTAGGATTACAGGTTTACACCACCATGCCTGGCTCATATATTTTATAACTTAAAGAAGTTGTAGGTATGGTATAAAGAACTTTTTTTTTAATGTGCTAGCGTGAAACTGCAGGCCTCACCTATACTTTGTAAAAACACTCTACCACTGAGCTACAACCCCAGCCCTAAAGGACCCCCACCCAAAAAATTTAGGAGTACATTTGGAACTTGATGCCCTATGAACATTATTCCTACACAATTCTTATCTTTTTTTCTTTCTTTTTTTGGTACTAGGAATCAAACTCAGGACCTTGCACTTGCCAGGCAGGCTCAGCACCACTGAGCTAAATCCTCGGCCCATACCCCTATGCAATTCTTGAGTGTGAGTTTTCTACAAATAAGGACATTCTCCTACATAATTACCATGGAACCATCAAAATCAGAGCATTCTCATTGATTCAGTAGCTGCGAGTCCAAAAAGGGCCAGTGCCCTCAGAGAGGGCTGTTCTGGAGGAGGCCCCTGGGCTGCTTCCGGGAGCCTGTGCTCTGGGTGCTGTTTCCTCTGCCAGGCAGGGGGTGCCCTCAGACCAGACCTTGAAAACACCTTGAGTCTAGAGTCTCTGATAAGCATCCTTGGATGTCATGCACACACTACTGCCTTGTGCCTCATAACCTTCGTGGTAAACAGAGGGTGAAAGACCTGTGAGTGATTCCTCCAGCTTCTGCCTGCTTCTAAGGACCCAACCATGTGTCCTTCCTGCACCATTGAAATAAATCTCAGCTGCGAGTAAAACTATGCTCTCCATCCTGTGAGTTCTGACAAATATATGAACCTGTGGATGATTTGGGGCATGCATGTGCACACACACACACAGTAGTGGCAGCAGTGGGGCTTGCTAGAAAGAGCCTAAAAAATGCCTGTATCGGGGAGAAAGGGAGATAGGGAAGTGAGATGACACAATTCAGGTGCTTGAGTGGTGTCAGCCTGAGATGAAGCCCAGAGAAGCCAGACACAGTGCCACACACCTGTGATCCCAGCACTCTGAGAGGCTGAGGCAGGACGATCACAAGTTCGAGCTCAGTCTAAGCAACTTATCAACTTAGTGAGAGTCTCAAAATAGAAAATGAAAAAATGGCTGAAGATGTATCTCAGTGTGGAGGCCCTGGGTTCAATCTGCAGTACAAAACAACAACAACAACAACAAAACGACTTTGTAGTTGCTTTCTACCCTATGGGAGAAGAAAGAGTCCATGTCCCAAGTAAGTTTAAGGTGAACTAACATTAAAAGTTTGCATTGCTGTGTTCTCTCTTCTAGGGGGAAAGTGGTTACGTCCATTTCCAAGGCTGAATCAAAACTCTAGATAAGCCAGACAGGAAAAAGAAGCGGGGGGGGGGGGGTGTTTGTGTCACACACACATGTACATGAGCTTTCTCCTCTGCCTGGAGCCGCTGCTGCCCACCTTTGTCCCCGCTGTGGTCTCTGGACAGATGTGTGAACTCTGCAAGAACTGATTCCCTGCTGGAGGTTGCAGTAAACCTGCAGCGAGGGGAACAGGAAATGGGGAAAGCTGCTTTGGGTGGCATCTGCAGCTCTGGTGGACCACTTGCCTGGCTGTGTTTGTTATGTACATTAGAGATCATGTGATCAGAGAATGCTGGAAAAACAATTGTGTGTGTATAACAACACCTTTGTTTTTGCCCTCAATGAGAGCACTGGAATTTGAATACTTTGAATATTAGAAATAAGTACAGGTCTCTGCAAGTGATGGTTTTTACTATGGTTTGGTCCACTGGACCCTTGGTGGCGGGTAGGAAACCACAAGAAGATACAGTCTCCAGGTAGAAATTTGCTTCCGGAGTTTTGAAAAGCAATTTGTAGTTGGCTAATAAGCCCTTGTCAAAATCAAATCCCTGACCCTTAGAGGATACTGATTTTCCAGGCTGGTGAGCATTTTTTATTTTATATATATCTGAAAAAGTATTTTGCCTTTGTTTGATTTTCTTTTTTCGCTTGTTTATTTATTCTTTAGGTAGACTTTATTCTTCACAGCAGTTCTGGTTTACTGCAAAACTGAGTGGAAGGCACAGTTCCCTTAGGCCTGTGCCGCACACCCCTCTCACTCTCCCAGGCCCCTCCAGCACGGGGCATTTGGTACCAAGACCCACCCTGCCATGTCCTTGTTACTCTCCCTCCGTAGTTTCCACTAGGGTTCACTCTTGGTGTTTGTTTGTTTGGTACCGGGGATCGAACTCGGGACCTTGCACTTGTAAGGCAGGCACCAGAACCACTGAGCTAAATCCCCGGCCCCACTCCTGGTGTTGTACCTTCGGTGTCTCTTAACAAAGCGACAATTACACATGTCCACCATTACAGCGTCAGGACAGAACAGTTTGATTGCCTACAAACCCTCTCTGTGTCTCCTGTTCATTCCTCCTTCCCCCAACCCCTGACAGCCTCTGATCTTCTTACTGTCGACATGCAAGGGACGATCAAAATATACGGAGAGTGACTTTAAAAAAAATACATAACAATAAAGAACACATTGCCCCCCCCCCCCGCCCCTCCAAGGCGCCATTTTGCAGGCGGCTGTCGCGGGACGGGAGGCGGCGGCGGCCTTGGAGACGGCGGGACAGAAGCGCGGCACAGGACG